ATTTGGCTTATTATTTTTGGTCAAGATATTTAAAAATTATATCACAATTTATTATATTATGTAATTGTTTCTTATTTTTCTTATAATTTCTCATTTTTTTTCATTTTGTTATAACAGTTGCTTAAGTCATAATTATCTTCTCTCATTCATACTAAATGATCCGGTTTTAAAACTCTTAGAATAAGCTCAGTTGAAGCTCAAACTCGATTATTTAATCAAGCTCAATCTCAACCCAGAGATGACTCGAGCTCGACTCAACTGATTTACACCCCCATTCGCAATCTCATTAAGGTAATGATATTCCGGAAAAAAAACTAAGAATTGTAGTTGCCTCCTAATCCGAGGTGTAAAAGGCAACAATAAATCACAAGTTCACGTATTTCCTAACGATAAACTACTGAGCTGTATGTGCTTCTCTCTGTTAAAGATGGGTGGCAACTAAAGTAATCTGTAAGCAGAGGAAAACAAATAGAAGAAGGAAGATACAGTGCAGGCAAAATGAAATTTCCTCAGCAATAGCTGTTTCAGTGAAACGTTTACATAAAGCACTAAGGAATATTAGTTAGTTACATGAGAACAAAATGTATTGGCAAGCTGCAGAAATGATTCTACATATAGTGGCTTCTGCTGCGCTTCTTCTGCTTAGGAACGAAAACATCAGTTAAAACAGTATTCGATGTCAGCATCACACCCAGCAAAGACAAAACCTACGTTCCGGATAAGAAGAAAGCAGCTGATCAAAATTGCAAACATTAAATGATATTATTAGAACACAAGTAATTGGTAAAATACTGAAATGGCAATTATATTTACCTTAGTCTTATCAATGATTATTTCCTTTTCAACAAAATCGGAAATGAGAAAGTCTATTCCTTCAGTTATTATGAGGGAAATTGATGATATGGGAGATATGTGAAGGTTATCAGCAATCATAAACCTTTTTGAGTCTTCCACAAAACTTCCACCATAATCACTCCCTCCTTTTTGCAACTTGGGATTTTGTTCTATGAGTTCTGCCTTCCTTAATCCATGCTTGCACGGAGTAGGTTTAAAACAATACCACCCATCCGCATAGCACTTTATGCAGCTCGCCGAACAGGTCCACTTAGCTGATGGCATTTCAACAAATTTTATCATTTGCTTTTCGCATCCATAGTAGGAGGCAAGTTGTGGAAACACCAACATGTTTTTACATTCTTTTGACTTGAACCATTCTAAGCCCAAGCTCTCTGCCGAGGAATACAAATTGCTGATGCACCAATCTGATGATATGTGATCCCGGAGTAGTTCGATCACAGAGCCTAAAGGAAATGCGAGAAAACTCAACAACTGATTGAGGAAGTCTCCCCCAACTTCGGCAGATAAAACACTGTTGTTTTTCTTGTTTAATATCATCTTCACATTAAATTTATGTTCTGCTTCGTTGCCGTCAATATCTTCTTTAATCACTGGGAAGCACTTCACACTTTGTTCAACGCATGCATCGGGGAAGAAAAACTCCGTCAATGCACGTTTGGATTCTAATGACCTCCTCAGTAAGTTTAAAGCCTAGACAAAAAAAAATAATACAATCTATAAAATTTCAACAATTGTAAATTAAACTAAATTTAAGTTATTTTTCTAGCATTCATAAATACGTTAATTACCTCTTCATTGCCAACATTTATAACCCTTTCCTCTAACATGCTTGCATCATTAATTTGCAACTTCTCAAGCACGGAGAAACCAGTCATCACAGAAATTGGCATCACCCATAAATTATCAGTAATAATAAAACCAGCTCTGTCATTAACAAAGACCCCACTCTTTTCTACTGTATCTTTTGGCCATCTCAAAGCCTTATCCATCAGTTTGCCACAACGGCTGCATTGAGCTTTAGTTACATAGGTACAATAACATGTTGATTGAGTTGAGCAATCACCTTCATTGCAAATGTATGAAGTTCTTGGGTTGGCCTCATGAATATTTTTAATTTTCAAATCCTCGCATATTTTTGCAGCAGCACTTCGAGGTTTGAGAAGCATTTCCTTGCATGCCTTGGTTTGCATGTGCTTGACGTCAAGCTGCTCAACGCTCTTATAAAGGCTGTCAAGAGATCCCAAGCCCGACTGCTTGCCCAAAAGCTGGACAATGCTTCCTAGCGGCAGAGTAAGGAAGCTAAACAAGACATCAATGAAATCACTCCCAGCTTCGGCAAATACAACCTGCTTTTGCTCTTTATTAATTAGAAGTTTTATACTTATCTCAGCCATGGCGTGATGAAAAGTAAGGTCTGTTCTGTGCTGCATTTTGATTGCTCTTGCCTCCATATATATAGAACAGAGAAGCCTTAAGCTGGCGGGTTTCGTGCAAAAAAGATTGGAATGCCAAAGTTGGGAATCCTAATAATAGAATGGGTCATAAATAGAAATGCATTAACCTCCATTCAAAAAACTCCTCGACAATCAAAAACCTCTTTAGGAGCTGTTTGGTATCGGATTTACAGTGGGATTTAAGTTGGATTTACGCTAAATACAGCCAAACAGTTTCTGTGGGCGTGTTAAATCCAGGCGATGCGTGAATCCCGGAATTTACTAAATCCCTCTCGGTTCGGCGGATTTATGGGATTTGGCCGAAGAAGCGGCCAAAGGGAGAAAGTTACCTTCACAGCTGGCGAACTCCATTGTTGTTTCCCATAAAAATGTCGTAACTTCTGATCGGACAGGAAGGGAAAGTCGTCGAAGCAACGAAGCCGAACAGCCACGAAGGAGCCGAAGAAGCTACGCGTGCTATCTCTTCGCCTCCTGCAGAACAGCAACGACGAAAAGAGAAGATGAAAGGCCTAGACGCCTCTGAAGTTATTATTGACTAATTTAATTAATATAAGTTAATTAATACTATAATTAGTGCATAAATTAATGATCTAATTTAACTTAATTGAATAATTAGTAATTAAATATTAATATAATTAACTTAATTAATATAACATAAAATACATATTATTAAATATATAATTAATAGTATAAATAATAATTAATGAGCAACTTCTACTTAGCATATTATTAAATTCATAATATATTAGTTTTAATTCTTAATTTATAATTATCATATTTACTAATTTCAAATTTATAAAATTTTCTGGCAGCAATGATACAGTGAAGGTGATGCTGATTCATAATAACGAAGAAGTGCAAAAAGCCGAATATAGAAACGGAGGAAAGTTCATTGGACCATTCGAAAGTTTATTATTTATAATTATTTGAAAGAGTTAATTTCTCTTAGTTATCATTAATCATTATTAATTTGTTAGTTTATAAAACAATCATTTTAATATGTTTATTATATATTCTTAGTGAGATCTTATCTTTGAATTAATTAAAAATTTTTAATTGAAATTTTCTAATTAAATTTAGGACCATTCAA